CTAAAAAAGGATGAGGCAAATGTTGGAAAGGAGACTTGCATGAAATCACAGAAGTTGATGTTTTCAACAAAACTGTTACTGCTGACATGGTCTAATTTAACAAAACAGAAACTGAGTATATTAGTTAAGAATCAGAACATATTAGTTGAGACTGAAGGGTCGTATCAGAAAGAGAAAGGGTTATGATTCCAAACCTGAAACCATTTATGTTTAATTCTTAACTGTGTTCAAAAGAAACATTTTATTTCAGTTCATGGAACCTGACACAATGAATACATATAACTGTTGGCAGCATCTAGACCCGTCAAATGAATTCATCTATTATAGAAGAATATGTAATTCTTTAACACTTACAAACACCAAATTTATGTCCAAAGGAAAACAAATCCGTAAGTTTGCCTAGAACAAATGACAAACATATACAAATTTTCCTGATCAATTAGGCATCATTGAACAAAATTAAGAAACTGAACTATAGTTTAACTCTTAAATCGCTGTTGCTAAACAAGGTTCATTAATCCTGTGGGCTACTAGTAGTCAGTATGACAATTCAACAAAACCAAATAGAATAATTTCCACTATAAAGGACATGAATATTATACATATAAATGAAATTTCAAGAGCACTGAAAGAAATTTTAACTAGATGTTGTAAACATCACATATATGGTTTTTTTGTTTAGTCTCATTTTTACCATTTCCTGTTCAGCATTTATTCTTTCAACTCTATTAACAATAACATGTCTGTTTCCTAATCCATAAACATTTGAAATGGGGACCTTTTCAAAAGTTCTATTCTGCTTTTTATTAAAATAGTAGGGTGTTCCCAATTCCCAAACTCAATGGAACAAATTTAATTCAGTAATGAGTATGACAGAGTACATTCCATCAAAGGAAACTATTTTTGATATGTTTTTTCCTAATGCCCTAAAGTACACACACCAGTTTTTACCACAATAATTCCAAACATTGAAAGCAGTAAAGAAATGTTCTAAAAATTACTGCTTTCTCATTCAACAAGTCTGTTCTTATTACCCTTCAAAGTACCATCCGCCTTATTAAGTGTTAAACTGGTTGTTTACGTTTTTTTAACTCCTGTTAACATTGCTAAGTCAGAAACAATTCCCTGAAATAGTGAGCTGGATTACATTCCTTTTCCTCTAGCATCAGAAGTACTGTAAACTGATCACTGTGCCAAATTTTGTCCTTACTTACTTCTGTGAATCTTCAATGTATGAAGTCAATGAAAGACTTTGGCCTGAATATTTTTGTTATAACTTACAATACATATACTGGGATGAGAATAATGAAGCTTAAAAGCAAAAGGATGATCAAAACCCAGAATGAGTTTGCAAAATAACACGGGATAATGCCAGCAAGGTCAACTATTCAATAAATTATCTTCTAAAAGTCCATAGGTTCTTCAGCACTGATTCCAAAGATGTGTTTCATATTAATCATCTAACTCTTCCCTTAAGCAGGACTAGTTTCACATTCAAATCATTGCTGGTTCAGGAATTTTTGTCTGTCCTGCACAAATGCTTAACTTTGAATCGGACTGAACTAATCAGCAAAGTTAAGCATATGTGTATCCAGCACTGGTATCTGTCAGGAAACATTATTTATTTTATTTTTTTTTTTAATACAACAATAAAAGAGAAATAGAAAAACAATTCAAAGCTGCCTCACTGTTGTACTTTAAATTCAGGTGACTGAAAAATTCCACAATATAATTGTATCCATTTCCTGGGGAGCCAAGTGGAGAAATTCTTAATTATACTGTTTCTACTTGTAAACCATTTCTAGCTCTAAAATTAAAAAACATGAGGATTCCATCCTCCCTTCTTTTTAATGAAGCACAGTAGGAAAAAAATAAACTTTTTTTCCTCTTGCTATAATGTAACTTTCTAATCTTCTTACTTTGAAAAGTTACAGACTGATAAAAACCAAATTAAGCTAAGATGGCATTTATCAACTTTTGAAATTCATACAAGTTTAATCATTGAAGCAATTCAGATCATCATGAATAGAAATATTAAGTGTAATAAATACACTATTTTGAATTAAGAGATCTTTTTTGATGGAGATTCATAATTTATTTTATGGAAGCCTTCATTTTCATAAATGTGCTGTTCTAACAAGATATTTCTAATTTGCCATTAGGATAGTGCTGTATTAGCTTCACTACAGTTACATATATATGTTTTAAAAAGATATGTAAACCTGAAATAAAATATCACAATGTTGCCACATAACTGGAACAAGTTTTACTTGAACACAAGACCTTAGCTTCATCTTCACCTTTTTTTAGAGTATTTATAATGCATTCCAAATGCCAAGATCTATAATAAATAAATGTGTTATAAGCTGCCATAGACTATCGTTGATAGAGTCAGTTGGAGCAAGATAGTCAATGAAAATAATAACTTGTAGCCAACGTGGAAGAATTAAAAACTGTACTGGATACGACTGCAGCTGGGAGAATATTCATGTATCTGTATAATTAATTATTGTTAATATTTACAAAATTATGTTGCTCACTAAGGGTAAAAGATCAAATACAATTGTATATACTGGACACCATCAAAACAACTGCAATTTTGTGTCATCCTTTCAACCCCTCTCCTGCTCACATTTCTAAATGTTTTTTTATCCTCCCATAAATAACTGAATCTTTATGTCCATAAATATTGAAGACTGAAACATTACTACCTCTTTATCCACCTTCACGTAACTAATACATAATTCATGAATCAACGCCAAGTGGAAAAAAATTGCTATAATCAATACTTCAAAGCCTGAAAATCATTCTTGTAAAAACTTTTGATGAGTGGATTTAGTAACTTAAGACTGAATAATTACTGACAAGTGTTAACAGCTTACTATAAGACAGAAAGGGTCATGTCTTAAAAATTCAGTCAGCATGAATTATGATGACATTGCAGTTCTGTATTACTGCAGCTCTTAAATTATTGAGGAAAAAATAGTCATTTTGAACTTAATCCTTTTATAAAATGTTCATTAATCAATGCTGAATTTTGCAAGGACTGAAGGTATAAAACATGAAATAATGAGTATTTGTTCCTGATATACTTGAACGACAAGCACTCTTTAACAGTTTATGCATAATGTATTATCTGATCTGATATAGTCTATTAAGCTTTGGGGATCCAAATAAGGATCAGTCATCTGGGTTCAAGCAATCAGTCACAAGGCCTCACAAATAGAAGTGAAAAATTTTAGCATTTTCATCAATATTAACTGAAATATTTGTGATAATTTTACTATTTTACTATTTATTGTGAGCAGAAAACAAGGTAAACTCTGCTAAATGAAAAACAAACTTAAGGTTCCACGCATCTAGACTAACAGGAATAGAAAGTAAAACAGCTGAATGAGCATCAGTGAGTATGACATGCTTTTGGATTATTTAATTTTTTCATTATTTAAGTAATTTTTTAATGAAAAGAAACATACCCAAAACTTAGTTTTAGTTTAAAGATTTTATCTATCACAGCCTTTTTTTTTTTCTTTGTTTTCTTCAATACAATGATTTCAAGTTGGAGTCTATGAAGAGGACTTTATTGTTTTATTGTCCTTGTTCACGGCCTTACAAGTTTTCAGTAACACCTACAAGGTCCCTCTTAGAACAATACTTATATTGTTTTCTTCCCCTTCACAAACAACATTTTATATAAATATATAACACTTTAAGGTTTGACTTGATGGTAAAACGTTATTTGAACCTTTGTTTTTCCTTTAAAGATTGGAATTATTATGTTTTCTTTTTCCACTCTAACATTTATTTTTGACAGTTAGGAGACAAAACTCAGCTTCCTCCTGTTGTCATTGTGTAAAAACTCAGCTAATTCTGAATTGTTCAAGCAGGATACAGCAGCTTGTTCCAAGAATGCCTAAGTGTGGCACTGATGACAGTAAAGATGAGGCTCTTGCATAAGTAAAGATAACAGAATCACTCTCTCTGGTTTTTGAATGGTTTTTTTTTGTTTGGGGTTTTGGTTTGGTTTTTTTGTTTCTTCATACTGTTCAAAATCCACACTATGCACCATATTAGATTACATTCTCTATATACTGTATTAAATTACCTCACGTTTGAGATTTATAATGACTGGGGAAGCACATAGTCACTAGTATTAAATAAAGTGCACTTGATCCTATCCAGATCATGTTTGCTCTTTCAGATCAGAATTTTATGTAATCTCAAAAAAAAAAAAAAAAAGATGGAATCTATCAAGATAAGTTGTTGTGCACAGCTCCAAGATTTTAGAGGATTTTATTTTTCTACAGATATAAAGTCAATTTGCCCTATCAAAACATGAAAACAAATTTTCTTCTTAGGTACCTTTAGACTCTTCTCAAACATCCACATTTAAAATAATTCAGCTTTTTCATGCAAGCATATCACACTGTGTCCAAATGCCACTGTTGTTATAATCTGCTCTCAAGAATGCTAAAACCTGATTTTAGGTCTGTTACTTAGCTCAAATCTTCCTAGTTCAAGACAAGAAATATTTAATGTTACAATATAAGTCTTACCATAACTTACATCAATAAATATTCAATAAAAATGTGCCTGGAATATCTGCTTCACACTTACAAAGAGCTTGCTTGTGTTTACAGCTGTTATAATCTAATAAAACTTTTCACAACATTGGAATGTCATTTTTTTAATTATTATTTTCCTTTATATTTACTGAGGGCTATAGGAATTTTTCACTTGACTTAACAGTAACGTGTAAAGTGGAAAAAAGTGCATCTTTACTGCTGCTGTCAGAAAATAGTAATTGACACTGAACATATTTTTCCAGTGCAGAGCCCTAACTTTGAACAGTTACACAGACAAAGGCTGAACATATTTTTTTCTATGTGGAGTTTAACCTAACAACCACATTGCAACAGGAGGCCCAGGCAGCTATGTCAACGGTTGTACCTGAACTATAATAACTAGATGTATTTTTGTGTGGTCTTATCACATCTTACCTTAAGTTTAGCTAGGAGGAATTCATGATCTTGCAGTAGTTTTTTAGTCTCATCTTGATTGCTGCCAATTTCTAATAAATTTGGTGTTGATTCAGCCAGCTGAAGCTTCACCCATTTTCCACACTGTAATAAGTAAACAATTACAGCCTTCAGAAAACACAAGTTTTCCTTCATTTATTTACTCACACAGACTCTCAGGTCACACATACTTTCCATGGTCATAGGAGCACAGAGACCCATAAACCTGTATTCAATTGCAGAATGAAGACACACAAGATACGATATAAACTTCACTTCATTTGAAACAGGTATCAAAATCCCAGACTCTAGTCTTAGCCAATAGCTACTGTGATTTGGGTTTTGCCTGTGAAGAGTAAGATTATCACAATGAGCCAAAAATGTTTCTCCAACTCATCTCCCCTTTCAGCTGAAAATTGCATAGATAGTTAAGGAAACTTCGTGGGTGGGGGGCTGGGCGGAAGGTACAAATCTATTATAGCAGATGCAAAAACCATAACGCCAAATCCTGTTTCTATCACACAGATCCAACATACCTGTATACTGAATATACATAGAGACAGATTGCACAACTAGCAGCAGGGACACTTAATAGCCTTTGGAATAGGAACCCAAACAGCAACCTCCCATTGTGTCCTGGAGGATACACAAAGAAAGGAAGCTTGACAGCAACCCAAAGCATAGCTAGTTCTTTCCTCACTGTGTTGCAGAACTGCTACAGTCTAAGAAGTAGAAGATGGTGATAAGGAACAAAGCAGTGATGTCACTGGAGGCTAGCATGGTTCCCACAGCACACGGGAAAAATAAATGTCTTCACCCTAAACGTAAGCCTCCTTGCAACAAAATTACTGCCCTGCAGCAGCAGGCAGAATCTCCCAGGAAGGGTGAGAACTGATAGGAGAGAACCTTCCCACCGGCACAACTTGAGGTAACCCCATCCTGAACAATCATACTAATTTGGTGACAGCCCAACTCATTATCACCTTATTCTGCATTACAGACAAACTCCAGTGGCTGCAGCTAGTGTGTTTTCCAAGCTCCTTGGAGAATGAAGAATCAAACTGTCAATAAATTCCAACTGGGATTCAGTACCTAGGCATCCAGCTTTACTCCCCATGCCAAATTTTGTGCAAGCTGCAGGTACGGATTCCAGCTCACAGAACAGGCCTTTAGGTGTTTATAAGCACCATACATACACACACAGGCTTTTACTAAAACACATGGGAATATGAATTCACAGCTTTCAAAAATAACCACTCATTATCAGGTTTAGTCTTCCCTCCCCCAGCAAATACTTCAAAAAAAGACACACAATCTGCATTTATGGAATTGGTGGACTACTTATTATGTAAAATTATTGCTGAGTACAGTTTAACTCTTGAGGAGTCTCAACTGTGATTAAAGGTAACATCATGCTTACTAACACATTTTCATGGCACTCTGCATTTATCTTTTACTTTTTAAACAGAGTAAGAGAAATTCCTTGCCTCTAAGAGCCTACATATTTTGGTCAAATTATTTATTCTATTTAAAACAAAACAAAACAAAACCCACAAAAAAACCAAACACCACAAACAGAAATTGTGAACAGAAACAAGTGTTGACTTCCAAGGAAGCTCTATTAGATATTAACTGATTAAATGACCTTGCTTTATCATTTTATGCTAACTATCCATTTGCACAGAACATTTAAAAGAAGTAGTAATCACTGAGTAGCAGAAAGCCAAGAACAAACATGCTAGCAGTTGCTGCCTTACCTTGAGTACAGCTATAACAATACTGGCATCCCCGGCCTGAACAGCAACTGAACTGACTGTTGTTGTAGAAAGCTTCTGCTCCAAACTGGATTTATTTGACATGGTGTTTCAAAATGGGACTTCATACATTAAAGCAGACTTGAAACACTCTTGCAAGGTCCACCGTTACTTTCAGAAAGCAACAGAGTTGCTTGGATTCATTCAGTGAAGCAGCTCAGCTAACACTGATTAGTCTGCCAAAAGGAAAGAACAGGAGGTTAAAAATAGACAACTCCATTGAGTTTATCATTCTTGAGAGAGATTTGACACACCCCTAGTTTGGTAGCATTAAGCTGCCTGTTCTTTTTTGTCACCATCTGAAGTGTGAAGGGCTTCTTCCATGAACATCACCTGACACTGGGTAACCAAAGGAAAAAAGATTCTCAAATTAAAACTACTAGAAAAAAATTTAATATTGAGTCTATACAGACAAACCCAGTGTTTTGAGGTTTCAAAACATGCAACTATACAATCTACAATTTTACATTCTACAAGTGGAATTTTTTCTTATTTTCTGGTTACTGAATATATTTGCTTAACATAATTCTTCCGCTGAGTCAAAGTATTTAAACAGGATGAACATGTGTATGTAAGTTGGATGCTGAATCAAAACAGAGAGGGGATTTTTAATCCAAAAATATTTAAAAAGTATAGTGACCTAACAACCAGAGAAGGAAACCAAGTGTTTTGTGTGAATTCTGAAGGAGTGTTTTATTGCTGCCTAAGGTTAACATAATTTACCTGCTTTTCAATTTAATCATAAGTTGTTTCTATAGTCTTCATTTTGTTCTAAATGAGCATAAGGAAGACCTCTCTAATAATTGTTTAAACTCCACTGAAGTTTTTTATTCAGTGCAGGGAAATTGATAGACATGTTTAAAACACAGTATTTGTTTGGCATATTAATTCTATTGCCAGAAGCCCACAGCATGCCACAAGTAGCCTACAGTACGAGACAGCAGCTGCTAGGTTTCCTTCCACAGAACAGCTGAGAAAGTGACACTGGTGTTTAGGTTTGCAGGTCACTCTGGAAACACAATTCCACTCAAGAAACTACACGCATAACTCTCCCCTAAGCATCTGCTTGCTTGATTTGTTTAAAAATACGTAATATTTAGATACACTTTTATATAAACTAGATTTGCTAATTGCAAACTAGAACAGATACACCTACAATGAAACCAAGATCTGGAAGAAAATTCTAAAATATTTTGGACTGGAAGAAACTTAGGGTAGCTTAGATAATTTAAACAGCTATGTCAAAGTCTGGGATTTTTTGTTTGTTTGTTTGTTCATATCCCCCCCCAGTTGTTGGCAGATTATAATCTTAATCTGATTGCCATCTTCAAACCATGAGTTTCAAACAGGGTATCCAGAAGCACATTGTAGTGGTTTGTGCTGAACTAAATGGGCTTGGCAAATCAAAAAAACAATTTTCCCATCCCTTATGTCAAAACAGAACCACGAACCCTCAAGCTGCCAGCAAGGGAACAAATATCACATAGTTTTCAGAAACTCCTTGTAACACCCGTGAGAAGCCCATAGTCCCCTGCCATTGAAACATTGTATAGATATTCATGAGACTCATGGGTATTCATGTAATAGGTATGGCAGAACAAAACATTTGAAATTTAATGGCCACACAAAAGCTGGAGGGTAGAAGTACTGAAGAAAACCTTAAAATTGAAACAAAAGAGAACGCCCTATTTTGGTTTGAATAGAAGATAGAGCCGTTGTACAAAACTTCCTAAATACTCGAGATTTCCAAAAAAACATCCCAGAGGACAAGCGACTTTGGATTTTTCACCCTGCAGGCAGGACTGAGAACAAACAGGACTTGACTGCTGGAAAAACTGATTGGAAAAAAACAGCCTGACTTCTTTTTTGTCTTATAAAAGGAGTTACAAACCAACTTTGGTACTATGTCAAAGTGTGTCCTTGAGTTTTTGTTCTCTCAGAAGCACATTTTAAGTGTACTTTTTCATGGCACAAATTGGGCCAATCCATCATTTCACTAGGACAGCCAGACATAAGAACTGTTTTTCACTCAGGTTAAATGAGGAATCATTTTTCATAGTGCTGACAGCTAGAAATCATGGAAAAACACCACACTCAAGAAGTCAACCATAAGCAAGTTTGGCAGCAGCTGAGTCAAGTGATTCAAAATGTCTGATAACAAATGCATGTATATTGTATTTATTTGGCTTATGCTAAGCATACAAGATAGACACAGGAAAACATCAGAGTAGCAGGCAGAGAAAAGGTAGCAAGGAATCAGAAAAGATCTTATAGCACAACCTTGCAAGAAAAAACTGAGGGTATTGGCATTGCATGATGATCCATTTCAGCTGTGTCCAGGGAAACAAAATTTAACAAACACACCTTTCTCAGTCTTGTTTACTTACCTATCTGTGATCTGTTCATCTGCCTGAAACAAACAAACAAACAAATCCTGCTAGAAGCCAGGAACAGGCAGGCTATCTGTGTCAGCAGAGAGAAATATTTTCCCTTTGCCACTGCTGTGTGAAAGACGAGAGTAAGAATGACAAGAGGAAACTAGCATTCACCAGCTGTCCACAAGAAACAATGACAGTGAACAAATGAACAAAGGAAACAATCTCAGGAAAACAGAAGAAAAGATCAAGTCTCTCTAGTGTAAATAATGTCAGGTATTATCTGTAACAACTGTATGTAAAAAGGATTTGAGAGGTAAACGTGATAAAACTCATTTAATTTTCAACATGGAGTGTGTCTTATCAGCAGCTTTCTCTCATGTGTGGCAAGGGAAGTGCACTAATCACAGTTTCGTCAGTTATGCATAGGAAAAGGGACTATCTTTCTTGGAGATAAGTTGCTTTTTGTTCAGAGCTTTGGAGCTGCCACTGCACTATGAAAATGCCTCTGGGAGAGACAAAGTTCACTCCCTGCAGCCTCAAAGATGTGAGGTCCTTCACTTTGACTGGTTTGTAACTGTAACAGGTCTCCTCTTCTTTCCTTGTCTCACACCTAGGAGAACAAGTATACACAGCAAGGGAGGGAAGGAGAGCAAGGGAAAGAAGCATACCTCAAACTGCTGGGTTTTGTGTGGCTTTGAAAAAGGTACATAAACATTGCTTCCCTCTGGCAGCCCCACCTGAATGAGGGACAAAGAAGTCAGACCTCTCCAAGTCTGTCGTTGCTGCTTTTTGCTGGCTTCTACCATCTTACCTTTTGAGTGGGCACCATTTTCAGGTATCGTCAGGAAAGACGGCATGAGGGCATGAAAGCAAGCAGCCTGCAGGTCTCCCCAGGTTCATAAAGAGGGGACTGTGCAGCCATGGAGGTCACATACGAGGGTGAGCGTTGAGTGGGAGGCAGGTATTTCTCCTGGAAGAGGCTCCTCTTTACCCTACACTGGTTGAGTAAGTTTCTAGGATGACAAACTGGTTGAAATCCTAACCAAGTTTTGTCATTCCTAAAACTAAAACAAGTATGATAAAAAAACATGCTGGCAGCAGTAGCAGTCAGGGGAGGCAGGCAGGAAACTGTGACGCCTCCTCCCAGAGGTCAAAAAGTACACGAATGGCATGTGGGGAACAGTGACTTGTAATACCATCTTAACATATTGTAACAATACCATTTCTTAACACTTGATTAGAAAGAAGTGTTTCTCACAGAGAGCCATGCTATGAAGGCTGCCAGAAAACAGAATGAAACCAAGGTACTTACAGGCATTACCCTTTTACTCAGGGCCGGAGAGGCAAGACAAGTGGGGGCCAGGCACAAACAGACTGCCCAGCACCCAGAGGCAGAGGAAGGAATAGCGCAAGCTGCCCCGCTGCCCCCAGCAGGGCTACGAGATTCGGACACAGGCCACAGCCGAGGGAAGCCTGTCCTCCCACCACCCCCGGACCACCCGGGGCGAAGGGGTGCCCGGCCCGGCCTCGCTCACGACACTAAGGGAGAGTTCCCACTGCCAAGGTTACTGAGGCGGGGCAGGTGCACCGAGAGGGGAGGAAACTCTCCTCTCTCCCAAAAGCAAGGTTATTGTTACCTGCAGGAGGGAGGGAAAGGGCCAGCCAGGGTAAATGAGATTAACTTCAGGTAGGTAACAGCCGAAGCACAGGCAGAAGCCATTTTCCTGTCAGCTTAGAGTCCATGAGCTTAAGACAAGGCAGCCCTAAAAGAGCCCAGGACCCTGGTGGCCCCAAAAAGGAGGTTGTGCCACCTTTGCCACCATGGAAAGAGAAGGCACAGAAGTCCCAGTAAGGGGCTAGGATATAGCTGTGAAAGAGTGCCCAAGGGGTAAAAGACATCCCGCTCCCCCCCAGCAAAAAAGTAGTAAGAATGAACCATGGTTCATGTTGCCTAGATTATTGTTTGATAGTTCCCATATTCATTTTACTTAAAAACATACAAGTACAATGAAGCATTATAGCTTGTATCTTCCCATTCTTCCTGTGCATCACTCTAACAAAAACCTTTCTACTCTTGCTCCTTCATCACCCGTCCCGAAGACACTTTATACCACTCTAAGAAAAAAGCATGAAGAGAAAAAGCTACCCAAAATACATCGTCACATGAGGCAGAGAAAAGATGAAAAGCAAAGGTATCACAGTGAACATGTCTCTGTGAAAGAAAAAAAACGACATTGCTAACCGTAAAACCAACAGTGTACCAGAGATGAAGAAACCGGCAAATTGTTTAACATTGCTAATTCAGTGCAATGTTAAAAGCAAAATCACTATTTGTTTGCTTCCAAGGACAACATTTAAAAAAACCCGTAAACAGACCTGGGAAGCAATGACAGCTGATACATTTCAGTCCACTGGTCATTAATTTTGCATGTCCCACTCTTTCATCCCAAAGCATTTTCTTCCCTATATCCCTCTTTTTTGATCCTAGAGGATTTCCACAAAGTATACATGCTATTTGCACCTAGCACTTGTCAAAATAGTACTTAAATCCCTACTACTTATTAAATGATAGAAGAGATCCACCAAATTTAACTAGGGCTTACAACCACATGTTATATCACTTCAGCCTCCACTCTTATTTTAAGAAAGCTCATATAGCCTTTAAAT